GATTTTTCTGACTTATTACTAACAGAACCCGGTATTTATTTGATAAATTCTTACCCCCTCGGGTTTAAAAGGACCTTTGCAATTTACTTACAGGAAATAATTCCGACATTCGGTAAAGTATGTTGTAATGCTGATAAAATTATCTAGAAAAGAAAAACTAGCAATACAGGTTTTAAAAACTGATAAATAGATACCCACGTCTGATTGAGGACTTCATTTTAATGGTTTATACTGTAGCGATTTATTTCTCGCAAAATCCATGCATTTTTCAAGTTGCTCGGATTTATTAACTGCAAGAGAAACTTTCACTTTTCGTCAATTTCAATAGGTGTTCGAACGAGATAAGTAAATTAATTCGTATCTTGATGAATGAACATTTATGGGTATTTTGGAATTTTCAAAATTCATCGGCTAATTGAATCTTTGTGTTGTGTATTTTTTTTTGTCTAGTAGGCTCGGCTTTAAATTACCACGTTTTTTTCCCGGGTACGGTCAATATGGGATGAAATTTATTTTTACTGGGGTGGATTTCCCTCTCGGGGTGTGCTGTTAAAAATATTACACCGTGCCGCGCCCTGGAGCTTTATGGACCATGTGACGGTGGTATATTGGTGTTAATTTTAGCACCGTTCTTGGGTCGTATGTTAAACCGTGTTAAAACGGTGTTAACTTTAACACAATTTTAAGACTGCTATGAGGTCCATAAAGTCCACGCCAGATGGCGGTTCCGGCAATTTGTAACTGTACGTGGCTTTTTATTCCGTAATGGCCGTATAAATATCTGTCGCCATTGAATTTCATTGAACATTCTTACCCGCGGCGAGTGTCATAATTCTTTTTTACTGTTACATGCGCGGTACCCGGAATAAGGATTCGTGAAACGGAATGGTAACGCTTACCGCCGCTACATGACAATAGAATCAAATCTACCTGATTGAAGATACGTACTCTCGAGAATTCTCATAAAATTGAAGATAATCATAAAAAAAGAAAAAAACCGGATGACAAAATAATTCCGCATTAGGAAAAGTGTCGGATTGACATTTTCAATATTTAAATTAACTTCCTATGACGTTGATCGACCCTGAAAAACATTCTTTCTCTCTAGCGCATGTCATTAGGTTGGCTAAAAGTTCTTGCGATACTAATGATACAATTTCGAATACGTAAAATGTCACGCAGCTTTTCAGCTCGGCAATACAATTTATATACTGGAAACGAGTATATATTTTGGCAGGGTCGAATTTAAAAATAACATCCCTCAATTCTTAATTACTCAACTCTGAATTTAAATAAAAGGGCGGTCATTCTTGGGCACTTTCGAACACGGCGTCCCCGGTGATTCGCATTTTGATTTTTGGGCGATGCCAGGCCACGGCCGTCTCGTCTTTGCGTTTGTTGTTGCAGTTACCTACGTTGTGTTCTTGTTTTGCGTGGTACCAGACCTTAATGCGTAACGATATACAATTGCATCACGTTCTAGATCGTCGACGTATGGATATGCCGTATTGATTTTGGGCATGTTGCGTCAGTTGCTTTTCGTTTGCGTTGCTTACGTCCCGAGAATCGCGTAGCGTCTCGTAGAGAGCAAATGGATCGGGACTTTACGTTTTCGTCGGGTTTCTTTTTGCGCCGCGTGTGTACCTTCCGCCTCTGCCGCGCGTTTCCGGTAGCCTTAGAGCGGCCATTTTGGAGAACGGTCGAGGACGTAGATTGGTAACGATCTGGCGAGTGTTTTGAGGGTAGCGAGGTGACGTAGCTTAGTTAGAGGTCCTCGTTGTGCCTGTGAGATATCGAGCCGAATGGACCAGCCGAGTCCCTCTCTCTCTCTTTCTCACGTTCACTCTCCCTCCCTCTGTCTGTCTTTGCGCGCGCCGCCATCTTGGGAATCTCGAGAAATCGGCCGAACGCTATACTAGGCGACTCGAGGACATCGTATTTCGTCCTCGTATCCGTAGGAGTCACTTTGCAGAGATCCCGATCATCCGCATGAATGATCCGAGCCCGAAATTAGAGGATCTCTCGGGGTCGAATTCGGATTTCCGCGGAAAACCTCGAGTGCGGATTTTTCGCGCGTATCCGCCCAAGTTAAATTGTCTAGTGTCACGAGTCGGAACAACGATTCAACCTCGGCTGAACATCGGTAAATCGCCCTAAAGTTTCGCCGATTGAGAATTTCCTACATTTGGTCGTTTTAATGTGACGTATCTTTTGGATTTATTAAATTTCTGAAATTGCTCGGGCGCGACGGCTTCGAGGAAGATATTTAATTATAGAGAACGGTGAGTCGGGGCAACGAGCACCGGGATTTTCGACATTGGCGAACGGTGCTAATATTAAAAGTCGCTCAATTTTCAAAATCCTTGTTCGCACGTATCCGAGCAGTGAAATCCTTTGACACCCTGGCCCGGTATTCCGGTCTATCCCGTCAAGCCGGTATCGATGGTCAGGATTAACATTTTCGAAGTCAGTCGACCGAGTGTCACCAGGGCGCGAAAAAAGAAGTCTACAAAATTCGGAAATCTCGCGAACGACGATTCGGACGCGCCGAAATTCCAGGTGAAATTCGAAAATCCGACGCCAACAGATTCGCGTAACGCGAACATCGATCCGGTTCGATATATCCGAATTCGATCCCAATCGGAAATCCCGGGACATGAACTAACTATTAACAACTAACTACTAACATCATTAACCTCCGAGGTTCCTCACGAGTTGGATCAACTCGCGCCACTTTTTGCGGATAACTTACGGAGTCAAAGACAAAGGAAAGATAAACACGCATACACTAGGAATATCCAAAAAGTAGGGAAAAAAGAAATATCGCGTCCGTGGGAAATACTCTCCCGATTTTTGTGGTTTTCAGAGACGCTTAGGGGATGGGGGTAAACACCGACTTTTCTCATTTCTTTTCCACACGCGTTTCTTTTCTGTTTCCGCCACCAACACGAACACGGAAAATCCACACAGGCACACCCTGACACGTCTACACGCACACGAAACACCTACAGAGCCACACAAGTACAAAAAGTCACACACTCTGCCTCTCTCTCTTTCTCTCTCTCTCTCTCTCTCTCTCTCTCTCTCCCTCTCTCTCTCTTTTTCTCTGACTTTTCTCTCGGAGTCGCCTCTAAGCTATTCGAGAACCTCTCTTCGCATACTCGCTTCTTCAGCTACGTACACACTATACATACCTCATATATACATATATATATATTCCATATATTATATATATGATTATTCTATGGTATATTTACGTAGGTAGATGTAGGTATACTATACGCAGGCACATCTTTGCACATTTCAGTACCTCTCGTGATGTGTGTCACGCTTTCGCGACTAATCCACACGTCTACACATACACATTGGCGCCCTCCACGGTAATTTCATGTGCGTGCTAGGTGGACATTCGAGAGAGGTCTTGTGGATGCGTATGTACTCAAATAACTGAGATTTTTATTTTAGAAAGATGTTGCATTTTCGGAACTTTTGCTATGGATTAAAATCACCCCGCGAATCAATGCCACAGTTTTCTGTGCACTATTTAAGTTTTATTTACTGACATTTAAATGATGAGATTATACGTAAGAGAAAAAAGAATAATTATGAAGGAGAAGGAAGTTATCAATTCGCAAATGTTGTAAACTTAATGAAGCGTTTTGACGTTCGTCGAAAAATTTGTTTTGTTCAACCACGTACTTAATAGTCGCGTTTGCAAATCCACAAGACGTCAATTGGACCGTTCACTGTCACTATTAAAATATATTGTATACGTGAATGATAAAGATTAGTCAAATGAAGAAAAGAAACTGTATCACCAAATTCAAATTTCCAACGTCACGAGCCAAGTACAGCTCCTTATTTTACATGAAATTCTATAATTTCTGCTGGCGAATTTGCAAAATGCTCACTCCCTCAAAACGCACTTTAACGCACGTCTCGTGGGCCCGAGGGCGGAAAAATGAGTGTAGGAAAGAAAGAAAATATTATTTTCTTGATTTCATAAGCACACCCGTGATATATCGCTGGTCGGCGCGTCCACCACCCACCACCCACTGAAACGCCCACTCACACCCAAAGGCACCTCTCAAGATCCACACCACACAGAAATCACTCACACCCGAGCACAAGTAACACTCAACACCCTGGTACAAAACCCCGAAACACCACAAGCACATACGACATCCACAGCCACCTAACAAAATGGCGTTGGGCGCCAGAAGGGAAAAAAACGGCGAGCTTCGGCCCGGAGAGACGATCGCGACCGCTGAGTAGTTAGAGTACTGCCTCCTCCCAAGTAACGCAAGTAACGTAATTTGATTACCGATTAATTCGCGAATTACGGCCGAGGGTTGGTACACGGTCTTAGGTCGCGATCGGAGTCGAGAAAATGGGAAAAAAAGATATCTTAATCAGGGTTCGAAGACGGGAAACGCGGTCCGGGGTAAAGAAAGGAACGCGAGAAAGGAGGCGAGAACACGAAAGTACGAAAGAAAGCGTGTAGTTACGTTTCTTAGTAGCGATTGCCCGGATTACCGAGAGGATTGCTAAAGCCTATGCGAGAACGAGCCGCGCTAGGTAAAGAGTCGCTGTCGTATGTAGATGTCGTAAGCCTCATAGAGAGTTCTTTGGTACATTGATTTTCTCGTTTCGTTCGATTCTTTTTTTTCATTATACATCGTGTTACGTCATCGCATGGTATACCTCTTTCGTTCATATACGAGCAGTTATTAGTTACACGGTATAGTTTCTCTCCTCCCGGTTTCTACATATGTTATTACATAAACATATATTTATATATACTGCTCTAGAGGAAGTTTCCGTTCTCGTTTCCGTTCCGTTTCTTCTTTCTTGTTTCTCTTTTCGTCGTTTTACTCTTTTTTTTATTTTCTTCTTTTTTTTTCTTCATCTTTCCTTTCGATTTGGTTCCTTTTTCCGTTTTTCGTGCGCGTCCCTCGAGGCTGCCGGACGACGCTGACACTTTTCCCATATGTCGGCAGCTCCGGGATTGAGAACAATCCGACGGTCTTTTACCATCTCATGCCTGGATCCACCGCCCAGACCAATAAGTTCAACACCTTCTATCTACAACAGAGGTCTGAAAACTCTGCCACCTGGGCAGACATCAAGGTCAATCATCAGCTCGATTATGAGAGCATCAAGGAGTACAATCTCACTATACGAGTGGAGGTATGTTCCTTTGTTTCCCTCTCTCCTAATCTACGTTTAAATTCAATTGAGCCATGTAAATATATTTAATAACCCACCCTGGCCTATATTCAATAATTTCACCCCTAAGCTAAATTAACTTTGACTACTTACATAAATTGCACAATCTATTCCCGTAAATTATGAGAATTATTTTTAATGTAGGTTGTATGTTTTCTTTTTGGCACGACCTTTTATCTGGAGATATTTTAAATTGCAAGGTCTACATCGTTTAAGTATGCAAATTGTACATATTGATCACTGATGTCTAGATCGCATTTTTAAGGGCTGAAATCATATCCCTTCAATTTCGGGGGGGAATACGTTGATACGCTCCGCTGTTTTTAATACGAAAAGAAAATATTTTCGGTTTCCAGAATAATGGCGCCCAACAGCTGGCCTCGGAGGCGACGGTCCACATCATGCTGGAAGACGTTAACGATGAAATACCTTTGTTTACCGAGCGGGAACAAGAGACTGTACTCGAAGGTGAACCGGTCGGTAGTAAAGTCACTCAAGTGAACGCCGTGGATAAGGATGGGACGTCTCCAAATAATCAGGTAACTTATTTTTTTCCGATAAATACCTCTGTTCCTTAAACTACCCTTTAACCATTCCAAGGGAGGTTCAGAAAATCAAGCAGCTTAACCTTAGTCTACCAGAAAAAGTAGTAGAATACTCATACTTATATCACTGATATTTGTGACTTTTTACGTACACAATATGTTATACACCTACTCTGTACCTGAAATTGATATCTTTGAGAGCAATCCAGAATGTAACATACCTAGAATATATAACAGAAATATTGCTGATCATTTGATTTCGATTAAGTGAAAAATGGGGTATTGAACTAAAGTCAAGATAGATCAAAATCGGACATTGATAATAATTTTAAAGTTATGCCCTAAGATCCTTTAAACCTCGGTACAAACATCCTACAAGAGTCTCTTCAAGGCGGGTGCAAGTGCGACCTCGCGAAATGCACTTTAAAATTTGGTTTCTTGCTTTTCGGAGCCTTGGCTAAGATTTCGATGGTTTCGGAGGGCGAAAGTTCGTTTTAAGATGGCATATTTGTTTAGGCACGGGGTCAGGCATGCACCAAACATTGTCTAATTTCGTCTCGAAGACAGGGGAAAATTCTGTTAACCTGAATTTTTCGGTTCCCTTGGATTTCTTTGAACTCGGGTTCTCTGCGAGGCAAAGAGAGACCACGAAGGGAAGTTAAAGCAATCTCTTCGGGAGTTTATGTAGCGAAAAGAGAATTATTAGCATATCGCGTTGCATCTGAGGCTAATAACGTAAATTAGTATCTTCCGTTAGTCCGGGGTAACTCGTGGCACGGAGTACGGAAGTTCCGAAAGTAAATAACCCCGACAACATGGAGCTTGTATCGGATTCGCTGCAAAAGCCGTTTCTACGTGGACTTGGATTAGTTTCAGAAGTTGTAATCGGCCACGCGAGACTACCGGTAAACAGTTTGTTTTATTGCAACGGTACATCGCCGGTTAATCCCTGCGACAAAATTCTGGATACAAAATTTCCAGTGAAAATTAACTCGCGAGTAAACATCCACTTTTGTTGACGCTGCTCTTGGTGTATCTAACAAAACGGAGCATTTATTCTTCCCTGGTACACGATCCAGCCAAATTGTCCACGTAGCATCTTGTGAATACCTTAAAGAAACAACTTTTATCTTAAACATTTTTTTTTATTGTATATTTTTGTGTGAATGTTTGTAGTCGAACGAGAAGAGTGTAATTTTTACAGGATAGGCCCAAGGCGACGTAGACGGAACGGGGCTAAATGTACCGTTTAATTTCAGGTGACTTACTACGTGGTGAACAGCGATCGAAACGAGGGGAAGGAGTTCTTCGAGATCAATCAAGAGACCGGGGAGGTAACTACAAAAGTGGTGTTCGATCGCGAGAGGCAAGGAGCTTATGCCTTGGAAGTCGAGGCCAGAGACGGCGCGCCTTCGGCCCGGCCAAATAGCAACGGCCAGCCCAATTCAGGTGAGTACTCCACTTGCACCTACATCACGGAAGTTTTATCAGCCCCCGAGTTTACCTGCCGCCATTTCCGTTTCGGCTTACTAAATGGACTTTTACATTTATTGGAAAAATTTCCATGCAATGGTGACCAAGAAAAGACGTTCGCAGGGTGAGCAAATACCCGCGCCACGCATGTACTACGTTTTAAATCAATTTCAGATTAATTTTAAGAGACCTTAATACTAATCTGAAATTGTTAGTTTGGTTGGGACAAACGTTGATCTTGCCCATCTCGTAGGTAGTCCGAGATTGGCTCTTGGGCCTGAAATATTGAACTTATTGTTAGTATAAATTGTTAGTTTGGTTGGGACAAACGTTGATCTTGCCCATCTCGTAGGTAGTCCGAGATTGGCTCTTGGGCCTGAAATATTGAACTTATTGTTAGACATTTTTGATAACGGGGTAGCCGGGTGTCTATCAGCTTTTTGGGCCGATAAGAGTATTCATGGTTATTTCTGGAATCCAAGTCGAGCGCCAGTTTTCAAGGCGGATTCAAGGAGAAAAGGTATCTCCAATGGACAATCCTATCGAAACATCGTGTTAAAGCTCAAGTTCGTCTCTTTCACGGCTGGAGTTTCGAGAAGGCAGAATTCCGTGGCTTGATCGGAGCTGAAAAGCTCCTCGAGGGCCGGTAAAGTACTTAGCATAAAATCGATTGCTAATGCCGCACATCGGTATATCGGCCCTCGGAGTTTACGTCGGAACTTCCGGAACTCCAATAAATTTCGCCCCGTCGCCCTGGGTTATCGAGTGGCGTGGATGATCCATTTACCGATTATGGAGATCGGTCGCGGGAGTCGGCGGCGAGCTTTTAGCCGGGCTGCTTCGACTCGCAGTTTGAATATTTATTTAATCGCCGGACCTTCCGTATGGAATCCCAGAATACGGATAGGTCGTCGCTGGGAAGTGTCCCGATAAGCTGAGCATTTTTTTTCTTTAATCCCGAAATCCAAATGGATAGGATTTTAGTAGCTCGAAACTGAATTCAGATCACCTATATTAAGGATTTGGTTGATTGCGAGCTAAAGGTGATTTAAAGGAAAATCAATATATTATTAAATTAATCCCTTAAATGTGTTACGGAGAAACTTTATTTTACTGGATTCAACACAATTCCTATACAATATAGAAAGTATTTGGACCTTCTCAGGATATGATTTCAGATATTTTCAATGCTATTATGCCTCGTCTGCTATACATGATCATTTTTAATTTTTTAATTCATACTAGGTACAGTTTAGTTTTATTTTACTATACGCTAAGGACCGAGAAAATCTTCATATCAATTATGAAATAAGGAATTACTCCTCTTTTCATTTTTTGACGTTAGATGTAATCGTATGCAATTGCACTTCCGTGACATCGATAAGACTTGAAATATCATGCCACTGGGCGGAAAATATCTCTATGGCATAAAATGTTGCCCGACACATAACCCATTTGACATTCCTCGACATGTAAAGGAAAGTACGGTACCGCAGGTTATGTACTCCGGAGAGAGGTCAAGTACTCAAGTTAAGGGACATTCTCGCGCAAAGTGTCGCCCGGTGGAACTTTGCGACACTTGAGAATGTCGCTCGAAGGACAAAGTAAAAATTCGCGACATCGACGCTCTACATTTTCTCCGGGCGATAGCTCGCAAATTCGAGTCAAATATTTGTGGAACTTCGAGTGCGAGTTTGTTGCCTCGATGGATGAGGGGGAAGAAACATTAAAAAAGGTACATGGACTCAATTGAAGTCTACCGCCATGCTATGGAAGTTCCTTTCGATTCGCGTCCACCTTACCAACACGAGTTCTTCAATTGATACTTTCAAATATTTTTATAATCTTGCAGATGTTTCTTATCATTTCATTTTTAAAAGTTCGTTTTCTACATACGGTCTTTTGTAGCTGGGTGGAATTATTAAATTTATTTTACGTGGAATATGGACGATTTCGGAATCTCATACGAGATGTTGATACAGATATCAAATTCAGTCCTGTCGAATTTCCATCGAGAGAATCGGGTATCGAGCCGATATTTATGTTTTTTTTAATGTTCCCCTGAAATCTGACCACCTGAAAAATTGTGAAGCTTTGTAGCGGAATCAAGGGCCATTAATGTGTGTTACGGAGCTTGGAATTATTTAATTCACTTTTGCAATTAGTGTGACCTTTTCCAACCGTGTCGGTAGTCCTATTGATAGCTCCACTCGAGATAATCCGCGTCTCTTGAGCGAATGCACTTGCGAAGAGATGTCAATGGAAAGAGGATAATATTACAGCAATGGCGTGGCATAGAAATAGAAAAATATATTATATTTCAAAGGACAAAGGAGGACAGACCTCAAATGGAGAGATGTATTTTAAGATTTTTTATTACAACTACAGATACAGTACGCATAGGAGTTGTACCGAAGTAACTAAAATTATTTCTCAGAATCTTATCACTTTACCAGCCATCGGGGAACGATTTTTCCTTCTACGTGGAAGGTTACGGAAAAATCGATTTACAGAAAAACGATCCTCCAGGGGTCTTTTATTAAAAACCGGGTCTCCGAAATCCGCGAAGCTCCGATTTCGGAAGAGCCCGAGGACAGCCAGAATTTTACGATCGCTTGGAGACGCGGATTAAAAATTTATTGCATCGCTCCCATTGGCCACTCGGCATCGAATTTAACTCTTTAGGAATTTATTGGAGAAAGTCGTCCTTTCGGTGACGCATGCTCTTTTCCCGGTCTCGGGGGAAAAATTTCGGCTTCTTTTTCCTCCCTGCCATTTCCCAATCGTCACTCGAAAAATGACCCAGACGTGCTTGACCGTCGAAATTTATTTCCCTCTTTCGATGGCTCTCAACTCTAGGAATTTATTGAGTATCTCTCGGTAAGTTTCAATATCAAAAACGACCAAACCAGGGACGTTCCATTTTTCGTCCCTCTATATCGCTCTTTCTTCCACTTCGCTCGCGTCCTTGCGGAAATGCGGCATATTCGAGCTCGCCTTGAAGAAACTTCGGAACGGTGGATTACTCCGTGAAAAAAGTTCCTCGGCTAGGTTTCCGTTGGTTCTTCTGGTCGGCCGTTAAAATGGAAAAAATCTCCTCGCCGGGAAATATTTCATCCTTCGACGTCCCTTTATCAGGCTCCAAAACACATTATTTCTCATCTTGCCCAGAGAATTTTATTCCGGGGAGATTTCTCACTCCTTCACCGTGAAAAAAGAGGGAAATTGAATTAATGAACGGGAGAAAAATTCGAGAGGTGGGGAAGAGCGTGAAAAGTTTTTTCATTACAAGTTGGTCAGTTTTCCATTTTCAACTAAAGGGAAATTTTGTTGGTGGGTACTTGCTTAAAAAAAAAAATGTTTGCGGAATTGGAATGTTTCCGCCGACTTCCTGCATTCCAGCTGTCTACCAGCCAGTTGGTGTCAATTCAAACATTTCGGTTTGAAGAGTTTGGAAAGACGAGCGGAGCTCTTATCGTTGTAATTTTTTCCGTAATTTGCCTGCACTCTCTTTCAGGCGTCGCCAATTTTCTCGCTACTCTGAATTACTTAATTATCTCTTACTAATTGAAATTGCTGCATCTCGGATTAATTTTGTTTTCCTTCATTTTTTGTTCCGCACAAAGACTTTGCTCTCGTGACTACGTCTGGGTAGGGGGGAGACAGTGATTAAGGAAGAAACGGAAGAGAAAAAATGTACCTTAGAGGATCCACGGAGAAGCGCTTTTCTGAAGCAGAGAGCCTGCCTTTTGGTCTACTCTTCCGCATTGAGAGTCGTTATTTCAGAATATGCCAAGTGAGGACCGCCGTTAGGATATTGCACCTCCCTGCCTCGACGAAACAAAGGAAATCGCGGAAAATTGGGCCAACGAGAAAAAGCGAATTGCGAGCCGATAGGAGAGTACGTACACCCGAATTCATCAAGAACAACTATCGAATGTTTTTTCTACGCACGGTTTCCGTGTGTATCTCCTTTATTTCCCATTTTCCTTCATTTTCCCCATTTTCGTCCTTTCACGACAGGAAATCGCTTTGTCCTGCTGGCAGTCTTTATCTTCCAGAAGCACAATCGAGAGCTCTCTCTCGATTTTCTTCGAATTTCTTCGTCCTTTCACCAGCGCTAAAATTCTTCTCTTATCAACTCCCATGAACTCTTCTTAAAAATCCCACTTCATGTCTATTCTTTAAATTAAGAAATTGGGTGGATAATAATAAATATGTTGTATCTTTATTGAATATATTCTTCGGATGATTGACGAGTACGTGTTTACGCGGTGTTATTTCAGAGGGTATAAGAAAAAATGCAAAACGGAGTAAAACGTGGGGAAAATTCGAGGTGTTTTTTTTAATAGAAGAGTGGAATTTTCGCGGTTAAACTGTATCGAAAGTCACGTTCGGGAAAAAAATTTGCAACAGCGTGATGGCTGCGAAACGTAATGGCCATGGCCACCCAATAAAAACTGGGAGAAATTGGGCCACGTTCGGGGAACGACTGGGGAATCGATATGAGAGTGTACCCGAATTTTATCATGGAAAATTATTGGACGATTGCCTCTTCGATTTTTGTTCCTTCGTTCCATCCCTCTGTCCTTCTTTTTCTGTTTTTAGCGAAAAATGCACTTCACGTTTTCCTCATTTTAGTAATTATCGCTAGTTGTTCCATTTGTATTTTAGCGTCTGGAATTTAGAAATCGAAATTATGTTTTTATTAAACCCGCCTTCAGCGAAGCAACGCGTAATTTTTACGCTAGGAGGTAAAGCAACCAGGAGGAAGGAAGCGGGAGAAAAAATGGCGAAGACGGGCTTTTTCATAACGGCGAGAGGAAGCTCCGTCGTGCCGCTCGGAAAGTTCTAATTCTGGGAAATGCCGCAACGGCGCTGTCGGTGGAATATCAAGTGGCCACGGGGACACAAAGAAAACTCGAGGAAATTGGGTCATCGTGGGAAAACGAATCGAGAGTCGATACGAGACTACA